CACCACTGACCGAGTTTAACCGGATAACTTGTGGTCAGTCGAAACATTTCGGTTGATATCAATAATAACTTAGCCGATGATTAACGGAAAGGGCCGAAAAGATGCGATTAAGAAATAGTTCAAAATATTTGCGAAATGATTTGCGCATTAATAATTTATTTTTAAGTATACGTGCGTATTTGTGAATCTTTATGAATTTTAAATCTTTTATAAAAGAATCTATGCTGTTGCGTACGCCCTGGATTGTTTTCCGAGTATATGTTATTTCAAAAGGTATGAAAAAAAAAAATCAAATGTTCCCTGTGTAATGACAAACACAAGGGGAAAAGTCCGATTTATATAGATACTGAAAAATTCATTATGAGAATATCGGATGGTTTTTCTTACATGTGCATTTAGATAAGCACAGAATATAACTAGGGAGATTCAAATAGAAATACAATATACTTACTTTTCACATCTAAAGCAAGAGCATTAGGCCATGAGTTCTGTTCTAACGACATAATGATACTTCTGTTACCACCGTCCATGGTTGCCCTCTCTATCTTTGGCTCCTTACCCCAGTCTGTCCAGTATATTACCCTGTGGAGAAACAAGAGCGATCTGTGATCACATGTGTCCCCTGATGATAGCCATTTGCATGTTGCAGCTACTGTGTACATGTAGCAGGAGACACATAATCATTAACAGGCTAAAACTCATTTTTATTCAAGGACTATATCTCTGCCAAAATTTTTTCAAAGGAAACCCCATTTAATATATGCAAGTACTTGAGGTACCTATCAATCCCTAAATTATCACTGAAATTGCATAAGTGGTATAAGAGTAGTAGTCCGGACAAATTTTATAAAAAAAAAAAGTCCTGAAAGAGTAACTCTGATAAATTCATTGAACCGGAAAATGCCGAAATTGCATCAGTAATTTATGAGGAGTAGTCCTTACAAGTTTTGTGATGGACAAACAGACAGACAGACGACGGAGAAGTGATCCCTATATGTCTGACACAAAAATATACATGTATGTAAAGAGGTCTGATAACTTTCCTGGTTTATTTAAAGTAATGAAGGTCTATAATATGATATATAATTACAATGATAGTAAATAGTAACAAATGTGACAACCACGAACAATTATATATAAGGATGCTGCTATTACATGTGATTATACGTGATCTTATAAGACATATTCGAACCGGATGTTAACGTTCAAAACATACTTACCCTCTTTCCGGGTGCACGATTATGTCCCTTGGTTGGTCTAATGTCTCATTAACAATTGTTTTATAAATATCTTTATTTTTCAGCGAGACAACTACGATGACCTTGTCAAACGTGCACGTGTAGAAGAGTAACTGATTTATATAGTCAACAGCGATGCCATCTGATATTGATTCTACGGAGAAAACACGTGTATTGTGAATTTTATAAGTTTAAAAGATTTTTGACATGTTATATGGCCTTATATAATCGATTGTTTGGAAATATTACCCGAGCCGCAGTCTATTTAAGTCTTACTTTTTCTCTAAAAAAGACGTTTGCTGTGTTATAAATTTGTTATAAAGATTCCTGACAGGTTACATGTATATTATTAGTTATAAAGATCGTTGACAGATACGGCCATATAACCTGTCAACGATCTTTATAACGAATTTATAATACAGCAAGCATCATTTTTTGAGAAAAAAAGTAAGATTTCTTCATGAATCGACAGCAGCCGTGTTTATAAAATTATATAAACGTCACGATTATCCAATGAAAAATGACGTTACAAACGTGCAGTATTATAAGGATTGTCATATAACGTCATAACAATCTACCAGCTCGGGTTATATAATGTTAAAATGCAAACGAACATTTAATTAGGGCGATAAAATCTGCCAAAAAATTGATTACTAATAATATCTACGTTTGCATCGGAACAGAAGTCATGTCAAGGTCATTAAAAAACAACAACTACATTTTCCTCGCTCGAGAAAAATTAAAAGGTGATTCTGTTTTGAATCTGAATGATACCGTATCCGTTTGTCACTAGAGGCCATAATATTTCACAGAAATAATTCACTCTTTTTTTTTAATACTTTCATTACATTATTTTTTGAACATTAATGTGAATATAAAGATTTTTATTTTATCTATTTTTAAATATTTTGACTATTTTTAGATATTTTATCTATTTTTTAGATATTAACAAAATGATAAGGCTACACAATTGTACCATTTGGCAATCTTTTGAATACTTCTTCTTGGAAACCATCCACTTGCGCTTTCATGATAACATTTGCCATATTGTCGCTCCAATATAAGGTATTTGTAAATGGATTATATCAAATGGCCCACGCCTTATAGAAAATTAAACCAAAACCGTAACTTGCGCTACGTCACGCGGTGCCCAATTTGAAATTGGTAAATTTGTTTCTGATACGAATCCACAGTAACTACGTAATTGTCCGTTTTTACGCCTTAAAAAACAGAAATAAAAGTGCATTTAACAGTCATCCAAAATAAAGATAATTTCTTGAGAAAAAAATCTGCATCTATATTATTCTACGTTTAACAAATTGTTTTTGTTTTTTTGATGCCTTTAAATAATTTTATATGTGATATTTTATGTTTTGGGTATTTATCTTATTTAGAAGAAATAAATTTCATATCATTCCTTAGACATGAAAAACTTCGATTTAATGAGAAATACTTTAATCGTTATGTTTCAAAGTAGAAAAAAGCGATAAGTTTATCAAATTTGTGCAAATAAAAAAGGATAATATCAAAGAAAGGATACTGTACTGAGTATCCTAAATATGTTTAGTCTTATGATCTTACTTGATGTACATGTTCTCATGTTTTCTTCCAATGTGTAACCAACTCCGCATTTGCATATATAGGTAGTATTAGATGTAGGAATACACAGGTGCTCGCAAAAGTTTGTGTCGTCATCGCATGCTCCTGAAAGAAGTTCGAATTTTTAAATAAGTGGCCAAAATTAATCATTTACCAACATAATTGGTATAAAAAAATCTAATGAAACTGTGTTTATGTTTTACGATATATTAGTACTGAAAATGTAACATGTATTGCCTATAAGCCCATTTTTTTGTAAATCGGAGGCAGATGTATCTAAACACTGCATTGCAAAATAGACTGCCGTCATAAAAGCCGTTTCAATCAATGTATCTTTGTTATAAATTTAGAAAGATTCAAAGTGCCCATGCGCCTTTATTACATGAATGCTTGCTTATCGGTTTTGACGGCTAAGATAAATGCTTCTGAACAAGTGACCAAGGCTGCGATTACTCTACGGAAAGTGACGAAACTTCTCGGAACTTCACGAGCCAGCAGTGATTAATATTTTGCGTTCAACAATTGCTTTTTATTGTCCAGTACTAGGAGATAATTATTAATTCGATATAAAGATATGAGGGACATAGAATTAAAAACACTTGCACCAAAGGGTCAGTGTATTATCTCAAACATTTAGAAAATAATTCGTCTAACTGGGTATGCCAACGCACTATTTCATTAATTAAAGCTTAACAGTCTAGCAAACAAAGAGTACCTTTAAATTCCGGTTGATTATGAATGTCAAAGGTTACAATGTCGGAAGCCATACCAGCATGTGGATGCAAGATACCTCGTACTTTTTCTAAGGTATCAAGGCGAGCAGCATGAATACAGTTCGAACATGAGTGTATGCTCAAAGATATAGATATATTATGACAAAGTGCCAGTTATTTTTCTTGCCAAATAAAAAAACCATGTCAGTCTTGATTTTTGTTAATGTTATTCTTTTAATGTTACACCATGTACATGACAAGAGTTATGCTGCCCTGAATTAAATCACTAGCATGCAGTGTAACCAGACGCGCAGGCTGGTCTGGATCCATGCTGGTCGCAAACTCATTACGTTGGTTTTTTTCGTGACGCGGCTCAAATATGTTTGCCCATCTGTTTTCTTTTTCAGGACAGAAGCAGTGTTTGCCAAAGATGCTGCTGCATTGATCTTGTAATTCATGCGATATAAAATTCATATGTAAAACATTTTTGTTAAACAAAATAAAAGAGAAAGAAATAAAGAAATAATATTTTTGTTATAAATAAATAAATAAATAAATAAACAAATAAATTATAAATTATAATATTTAAAAAATATCTGAATTTTTGATATTTTTTATTTATTGGCAATAACATAATAAATGTTTTAAAACTTTTTGTTATGCTAAATCAATACGGCCAGCTCCTTTGATCTATATAACTATTACTTATTGTTCTCGTATATACTTACTTGATAAAAACTTATACCGAAGAAAGTGACTTGTTCGCTGATCTTTTCATATGGTACAGTAACTTCCCCTGTCGTCAAATCTATACAGCGTACGGAATACAGTCCAGAATCTGCCCAGTATAGTCTGAAATAGTTACAAGGTTCGTTATTAGTCCCGCTTATTTTGTATATCTGCTATAAAAATCAATTAACGTTTTAGGAACTTACCGCTTCAATTCATCCCAAAATTTCTTTTTTTTGGGTGACATAACATGAAATCACGTCTTTTAAAACTTTTGCCCTACGCAGAATGCGCATGCGCGAAATGAAACTTCCGTTGCTATGGAAAGATCGTTCTGTTATAAGGTATATTCGGTATTTTACCATGAGTGAAATGGTTAATGTCAAAGTAAGTTTACATTTTGCCATAAGTCCTTCCCATTGTTAATTTACTTTGCTTGAACAAAGAATGACTCCAATTGCCCAAAGAAATTTCTGTAAATATCCATCAGAATTGACCTGTAACGTTCCATTCATAAAAAGAGATGGGCAGTCTTTCTATATTTAAGGCATATTTACATCCTTTTCTAAACATTTTCCAACAAAACAGTTGGTCAAACTCCATTATAACAGTCAATCTTTTGAAATATAAAGTCATTTCAGCTCAACTTGGCAATGAAATAATGAGTATAATGTCACTTTAATTTAAAACGCCAAATAACTTTATAGAAAAATATATCCGCTGCGACATCTTTCATAGGTTACAAACATATTCATTAAGGAGGCGTGTCTATTTATCAGTTTGACCAATGACCATCGACCCTTTCAGGAACAGTGAGTACAGACCTGTGTAAGCCACCAGTTATGCCCTTCGACGTTACCCCCTTGTAACCAATAGTGATACAAGTTTAGAGCAAGGTCAGCCGTCTTTTTTCATGCAATCCGAACAGCCTAGCTAAATTTTGTATTTTTCTGTTGTAGTTTCATATTGAAATCCTTTATACTTCAGGAAGACTGTTACTTTAAAGGAAGGCGAATCCATTACACAAAAACAGAATTTAAGTGTTTAAAGATGAGCTAATTTGGAAGCCAGAGTGGCCTGTCTTAATACATTGTACTGAATTTTGGAAGCCAAAAAATTGTCACTGTACAAAAAGACATATTCGACAGACGTGTAGAGTATACACTTCCTTTCGTTTATTATCAAGCTTTCGTTTAATGTAAAGATAAGTAGACTGGGCCCACGCTATGATAGGACTGGTGCCATGACTGCAACTAAAGTATTATTTCCTCCTTTCGTTAATTGTCAAGCTTTCGTTTATTGTCAAGATAAGTAGACTGGGCCCACGCCATGATGGGACTGGTGTAATGACTGCAACTAAAGTATTCTTTCCTCCTTTCGTTTATTGTCAAGCCTTCGTTTATTGTCAAGATAAGTAGAGTGGGCCCACGCCATGATAAGACTGGTCCCATGACTGCAACTAAATGTTATGGTTAGCTATATGTGATTAAGCCATAAAAAGAAAGGACAAGACACCAGATTAATAGATTATATATTTTAACATACTCACCTGTCGGTCGTGTAGTCCAGGTACAGGTGGTTCGGGGTTCCAACCTGAGATTCATTTACCAGCGGCCTTTTGCTCGATCCGTCCATGGATGCTTCAAAGATCATACTTGTTTCACCTTGCTCGGTCCAGTATAACTTTCTAAAAAAATAAAATAAATACATAAATAAATAAAATAAAATAATGCCGAGATCTTCCAAATTAATCAACAAATCAATAAAATTATGTCTCAACCTCAAGAATAATTTAAATGGATAGAATATTTAAATCATATGTCTCGTTTATCATATTTATTTGCTGTCAAAAATATGGACTTGGTGTGCCAACTGATAAAAAAGATGTTTTAGAAATCTCTAGAATGGTAACTAATGAGTTAAAAGGAGCGAAATGGTTGCAAGCTTGACAAAATGTCTACCGAGTCATGAAAACCAAAAACGCAGGTCCGTATATTCTCCAGGTAATTGAGTTTGAAGTTTAAATTATGTTTATAAATCTGCATTTATAAAGACAATGCTTATAAATAACACACTCAGGTTTAGGTTTCAGCTTCCTAGCTTCTGAATTGACACAGATCTTGTTCACATTTAACAGGTCATGTTCAAATTTGATTACACAAAGTGTGTATTTTGGTCGTTTATTCAAAACTTTTATTCAAATCTGTAAGTTCAGAAATTAATTAAACAAGACAAAACACGTGTCTGCCCATTCTGTATTGTTCCAAATAAAGATTAATTTCACAATAAAATATCTTGTTCAACCAATTTTGGTTGATAACTTTTTCTTATTATACTTATAATAATGTACTTTTAAGTTGGTTAATCACCAGAAATAAGCTTAAAGCAACAACAACAAAATATGCTTAACCTGGCTAATATTAATTCTGGCTGACGTTAACAGTTCTCACTGAGAATGAAAGATAAGTATATTGATTGATTGAACATTTGAACAAATGATTGGTCACAATTTAAGCTGCCCAAGAATATGCAATTTTTAACGACAGAGCACCCTTTTCAATATGTTCAATACCAATCACGGTTGTGAAGACTGTACGGATTGACAACCATAACTCACCCTCTGGCAGGATGTACAGCTATACCGAAAGGTTGGTCGAGGTTTTCAATTATAACAGATGGATACATCCCGTCTTTCTTTGCCATGGATATATGGTTATATGTAAGGTCTGTCCAGAACAAATTACCTGATGACCAGTCCAAAGCCAACCCTTTGAAATGACAAAAAGTGGTTTTAATTCCATACAGTGATTCAAATACAATTTAGAAAGTGACAGTTATTTTACAATGGGTGTGTGTGCATATAATATTTATGAATAGGTAATATTCATTAGTTTTCATAGACAACACTACTTCAGTACAATTAAAACGAGCGCCAAGTCAAAGGAGACACTAGTATTTGAACATATCAATATACTTGAAACGTGTTTCATGTCTAAGAATACAATGCGTCAAAGATATTAACTATTGACACATTTCATTCTAAAAATAGACTGCTTCCTGGTATTTGATTACCTTACATGAATCAAACTCATGGACACGAAACTGCAGATAAAGTTATTTGAAATATACGAACAAAAATCAACGGGAACACAGACACTTCATCCCTCAAATTTTGAAAACAGTAAGATACTTCACACCTTATCAACAAGGCAGAGGTTCACTAATACAATCTCGGACAAAATCCATTCATACACGCGACTTCAAGTGAGGCACCGAGTATGGAACAGAACATGTAGAAGAGAACAAAGGGCAGGACATGGAAGAAGTTATCAGGTTAACTAGTTACGTAACTAGTTAACCTCTTAATTAACTAGTTATTTATCAGGTTAACTAGTTACGTAACTAGTTAAACTCTTAATTAGCTAGTTAGTTATCAGGTTATCTGGTGGCAGAAATATGCCACAATAAATATACCATTTTCGGAAGTAAGTACGAGTATAGATCCTTTCATTTAAGAGATTAGCGTAGAAGAGTTACTTCCCTAACCGGATGTGACGTCAATGGGGGATACAGACTGCTTCAAATGTAAGCTATTCGGGGGTTTTGTTATACAAATGCGTAAATAAAGATCATTCAATTATAAATATAACATGAACAAGTTGACTTGTGCATACATAACTTCCACTTCAAGACAATAAATAAACAAATGCTTTAGATTACTGTTGATATATTCTGAATCAGAATGATAACTATTCATCTGGAATCTCTTTTGTAAATCTAAGGTTATTTAGATGAAGATTATTAAAATCTAAAAATAAATATTCGTAAAAATTAAAAATGATTTAGGAAACAGCAAAACGTTTGTAATACCTTGAACATCTCCAACGCCTTTAATGATGGACGCCCCTGGTTCACCTATCACTAGATTAATTCGCCCAATACTTTTGGTCACGTTCTCTGTGTAATACAACATGTGTTCACGTGCATCAAATGTGAGGCCAAAATTCCCTCGCCCTCGCTGGAGGAAGCATTGAGAGTCGAGGGAAACGTTATACAGCGACATATCGGGTAAATTTACGGGATAATAGCATATAGCGTCGCCTATAGCATAAATATGACTCGGCATCACGAACTTTCTTCCCACTGAAATAATGCAAAAAATTCTATGTCAGAGAAAATACAGTAAAGTCCTGACAATCAGATCACTTACAAATATTTAAAGCTATGCAACTTTTAGCAAGCATGTGGCATTTTCCGCTATTTCATGATAAGGATTGTGAATTCTATGTAGTCCTCATAGTGGAAGTTAAAGGTCGTTTTACCATTTCCATTTACGCACCTGACAGGTCATTTTCACCGACTTCCGCATTACATATTCAATACATGAATGTCTGCGCACTGAACTGTTGTCTGGTTTTCCGATCGAAGACTGTGATTTAGGAAATCGTGCGATAAATATATGACGCATGTCAAGGGCTTGGTTAAAAAACATTTTTCTTGTTTAGTTTACTAGATATTCATGTGAAATAACAACTGATAACTTATTGTAAATACAGTAAAATTCTGTGTATGGAGATTTCCTCGGTATGAGGGTCGATTAGTTCTTTTTTCTGTCAGTTCGCTTTTTAAAGTTTACAATTGAAACATGGAAATAAATAACTACAATAAATGCACAAAAACTCTTTAGTTCAGAAGTGAATGTGCATTATGGTGGCACAGAGGTGAAATGTGTATGTTTTTATTTATCTCGTGCACACGACATAATAACTCGTGTGTACGACATAGTATCTCGTGCGCACGACTTAGTAATTTTTGTGCAAAACCTGATTTTCTCGTGCGTACGACATAATAACTCGTGTGCAAGACATAGTATCTCGTGCGCAAAAGATAGTTAAAAACACACACTCATGTCACTTCTGTGTCACCGTAGTATATTCATATCTGAAGTATAAAATGGTGAAAAAAGCATCAGATTAAAAAAAACCCTTCTTTACCTGTACATGAGATTTGATCTATTTTGTCTAGTATATATCCGTCTCCACACCGGCATTTGGGTCCATATAGGGGATCATTTACACAGATGTGTTGGCAACCCTTGGCATCACATTCAGCTGTTAACAGAATGTAGAAGACATAAATTTTGATCACATTTTGCTGCATGTTATTCAATGTTCTATTTTTTTACTTTCGCCTTTAACCTTTTGAATCAATTTTTTTGGATATCAAAATGAAAATTTGCTCTTGGTCAGCAAGATGTATAGATAGAGCCAGTTCAGACTGCGCGGATGTCAAGGCCGGCCTGGCTCTATATTGGTGGGAAAAGCTTACCACATTCGGCGTGAGAAAGAAAGAGTTAAATTAATGCTGAAACTAACGGTACAAGTGTTATCACAGCCTAGACTTGATTTATTTTATCAGACACGTTTCTTTAACTTTACAATCCGTGCCGACACAAGTTTGGTCACAAGTTATATCATAAGAACGTCCACGTGTTTTGATTTGTAGTTCAAATGTCGTGTTTGTTTGTTTGTTTTGTTTTTTTTTTCAAAAAAAAAACCAAACTTTGTTTATAGAGTGTTTTAGACTATCCAGGAATATGTAAATATATTTTTTATTATTTCACAGATTGATAGTATTTTTGCATGCTTAATGTTATTCCATGCGGTCTGAAGACCGCAGGGTATTGGTACGCGTTTAATATTTGAGGCATGGAGGAGCACGTGACCTGTTTTCGGTACATGGAGGAGCATATGTGATCTGTAAACCGTAAATGATTGGTTAATTGACCTTTTCGAAAACCTAGCTAAATACCGTTTGCCGGTACGTTACGGATTTACCTCGAGAGAATTAGTCCGAATTACACCTAATTAACAAAAAAAAACAAAAAAAAACTATTACGTGATATTTCTAATTTTCTATAATTATTTTACCGTTTAAGGCGGAAAAACTTGAATGATGTGTTTGAAAATTATCAATGTTTCTTTAATATCTATCTCAAATGTTACAAACAATAAATTGTTTATACTGAAAATCTACAAAATTAAAATATTCGTAGTGGCATCTGCCATACTAAATAGAGATATTTTCTGCGTAAACTTGTGTGTTTACTTTATATTTTTGCTCGGAATTATTCAGAAAATGGTATTTAATCATTTTCTTAAAAAGAAATAATTGTTTTATGTTCGACCTTCTCCGGTCTCAGGTCTTCAACGGTCACCAGTTTCCAAAGACCTTCTTCTATATTGATCGATTATTGTCAACTTTATTCCTGGTACAAACGTTTATTTATCCCCCAAACAATGTTGAAAATAGTTAAATGAAATATCTTTATATCATTAAAAATGTTCCCCGCAGGAAACCATTTTACTTGTTATTTTTATGTAAAAATAATCCGAAGTGAAGAGTCTCTAACCTCCTATGTGATCACATTATATACGATATGTACATGCATATATTGTACACATATTTATTAAACACCAACCAATAACCTTTCAGCGATTGAGCCACGTGTTGTTTAAATAGAAATTATTAATTAACTCGATCCAATTTTACCAATTTAACCTCGTTTGCATTTCGAGAGTCCAAAAGAAGCATCCATATCAAATACATATCGTACCCAATATAGCCTCAATTTCATTTTCAATGTACAACATATCTATCTCAAATGCATACATACACCTTTCCAAATATACACAAGTAGAGATTTTGATGCTAAAGCATCAAGTCGCCGGATAGAAAAATGATTGTATTATCATAAAGATCATAAGAAAATATCAGTTTAATGGTTCAATTACATTGTATAAAAAGGGGGAACAATATGTTGAGTAATGTTTGCCACCGAGACTTGTAAGGCAAGTGATATATGCTGGTAATTCTACTTGTAATTCTTCTTTATACATAAACTGTTGTACCATACATTGAAATCTGTATGGGTTACAAGTTCAGGATCTGATAATTACTGACAAATAATTACCGATCATCGAATATTTGCAAAGTGACTATGAAAATATATATATATATATTTATTATTGCATGAAACAATGCAATTCTATTGTAAACGTGTTATCCATCAATATTATGCGCTATCGAAAAAACATATACTTTAGTTGAAATTCCCATCTTTACATACGATATAATTAACGTTTAATTAATTGCCTTTCAGTGCGATTATCTATCAACACAAAGATAGTTGTTTTTTTTTTCGTTTTTTTTATATTCTTTATTATGTATCTAATACGATTCCAGACCCCTACTGACATACCGTTTTGAAACCTGCGCGACGGAAACCGACGGAATATAACAAAATCAACGATTACCATTATATATTTCAATAATGTGCCTCTTAAGCGTAAAATTAGTTTGTGATGTTCAACCTTAACTAAACTATTGAACGTTCTTGTCAATATTTGACAGAAAGGGCTTAGTTTAACCATTTACCAAGAAAAAAGGAAAATATTTTGAAAATCTATTTTTTATGTGTCAAATATGAGTATACAGGTTTTTTCTAATGATATAGAATATGAAACTGATTAATGAAAAATAACTGATAAGCATCGTATACGTCACTGATAAGAGACCTGTTCTTAAAATAGCCACATATCGTAAGTTTCGGACAAAGAATCTGGATTAATCTACATGTAGATTATACAAGATAATGGTTACGAATACTTTTATTCACATTTTTCTCAATGAAAATGATGTTCCTGGAATTAAACTTGTGTAAAGCATGACTGAGAAGCATTCTTATGTACAACTACGATGATGATTTAAAACATCTGGAAAATAAAGATGGTGAAAAAGAAATTGCTTTTGTGGTAGTATATACTTTCCCTGCATGTCAGTTTGAGAAAAATGCGGCGCTTGGCAATTTGTTTTTGTTTCACTCTATCAACATTTGAAATGGTGAGATGATATTGTATGATTTCAAGAATTTGGGACTAAAAATGAAAGTGTATCTTTTTGTTCCAGATATACCGTACGAAATTTTGTTCCTATGTAAAATACGTAGATTGGAGATGTCTTGAATCTATCCACCAAAGTGCTACGTGATTAATTAATATCTTACTTCTTTGATAATTTTAGAATAAGCAAAACTCTGCACTTTTCCTATTTTACCTAATAAAAAATGCCGATTCTAGTATTTGTTTTATCAAAAATAATGTATACGTACATGCATGCTTGCATGTATATTTAAACTTAATTGACAATTGAAGTCCATGATTTAACATACGTGTGTACACTGTTAACGTACAGACAATAAAATATAAGTCATTTGTATTTTTATTTTCCTTGGATATCATATGTCTCACACAAAATATTTGTTGTTAAAATCATCGACAATTACTGGTGCATTTTTTAAACTTTTTTTTTCATTAACAAGGTGTAAAGATGTATATAGAGGCCAGAGCAGATCGTGACATATGTTTAAATGTAACTTAAAAGTACAATGTTCAGTTGTCCCTTTTCTTTTCACACTAAATTCCATTTCCAACTTGTTTGCTTTCTACAATTGTATAAAATTTCTTAAAATATTGCATGTAAACAAACTAAATATCCGCTGATTAACATCATGTATAATTTGTACTCCCTAATCGCTTGTCCGAAAGTCAGTGTAGGTGATGGAGTGGTGATTAGGTAAAACCTATTTTTAGAACAGTGTTACCTTCAGATCGAAGGCTATTATACAAAATTACAATTATTTGCATCTCATCAGCCGCTATACCTTTTGCAGCTACATGTATGTCTTATCTGCAATCTGTTACTAATAATAGATTTTATAACGATAACGCACAACCTCTAGTCACGTGTTTCAGGGAGAATTTGTTTATAATTAGATAAAATAATGAAATATAACAGGTCTCATAAAATATAAACAACCAAATAATTTAAGTGTCATTTCAAATATCATTCATGATTTATATATTATAAAATAGCAACGCTTGAAACATGGAAAAAAAGTTAATGTATCCCTAAATTCAATGACTGATCCTTAGGGATACATTATTGATTCATTTTATGAATATTGTAATGTTACTTTTTTAGATGTCAATATGTGTACATTTCATTTCATTTCATTGAGTTATCATATGTTCGATTTTTTTAGATAACTGAAAACGTGTGTGGTCTTTAATGGTTCAGTAATTGATTTGCTTTTATCTTCAGATTTTAAGGGCTTCTCCTACCATAGGTATAATATTAAACTGTTACAAATATAGTCGCCGGTTTCTACCGGCGACTAATAAAGTGATTAAACGTTGTTGAAAACAATATTGTGTCTATTTAACTCGAACACAGCTGAAAAACCTTTATCGTACTCTAGCACCTCGTCAAATATAGATTTCAGAGCAGTCGAATTAAGTACTAAACTAAACTATAATATAATTATAATGATGGTAGAGTCTAGTTAGTTTCAAAATAGATTTATTTTCTCGGAAACAGGGGAGATAATCTGTCATTACTTACAAGAGTTGCCTGCCTGTAGGGAATCGTCGTACATAATGATACCATCGGGTATGTATCCGAGCTGGTAGTTGATCTCATTATTCCCGGTCAGTTTGTCATACACTCTTAGATGACCCTGCATCTGTTCTGTTACAAATAAATATTTCTGAAATGGAAATAATTTGAAAAATAATGTCCAAGAAACATAGCTACAAAAAAGTGTATATTCCTTTGGACTCGTAAGTTCAAATCTTAAGAGAAATAATAATTCGTAAGGAAGGCAATGATCATGTGCAAAGTTCCTAAGAGTTGCCACTTAATTTGTTTTCTGCTACAAGCTAAAAACCTTCACAAGTTTTCACTGATTTTTTTTCCAAAGGAACCGTGAATTCACTCATTATGTGAAAAGAATTTACTTTAAACGAAAAGAGAAATAGATTATTAAAAATATTAAACCTGAAATACTGCTATTCCGAAGAAAATCGTTGCAGATTGATAGGCCACAACCCGTCTATTGTTGCCAAGGAAACCAGCACATTCTATTGTATCTTTCTTACTGTCCACCCAGTACAACATGTCATCATTAAAGTCTATTGTTATACCACGCGGATGTTGAATATCAGTGTCAATTATCGTTAAACGATTTTCTCCGAGAAGATCCGAGACTTCAATCTTTGAAACAGTACCAGAATCGGTCCAAAATAAATACCTACAAAAGGAATGACAAATATTCAAATTATAATACACATGTACCTACAAATATAAGAGAAATTAAAAATAAAGTGTTTTAAAATATGTCTAGCAAAATAAATCTCAAATATATATTTAAAAAACGATGTCGAGAAAAAACCAGCATTGAGATATATGATATATATATATACATTTTCATCCTATAATGCAGAAATGAACATAATGTCTGCTTCCGGTCCGCGCATGCGTCTATCATTTGGAACACCAAGCTTATTATCAATGATCAGTCATTATCCAGAGTTTGACGGAAAGAGCCGAAAACCATCGATTTTTGGATGTATAATTTTCACTCTTATTCATTTACTTATAAATACCACCAAGGCTGTCATTCAATAAAAGCTTTTATTGTTATCATACCCTTTCTCCGGATGAACGGCAACACTATGAGGATTTGTCAGGTCTTTTCTCACAACTAATCTGTAAACTTTTTCTTGTGCTGACAACGGTGCCATCACTATCCAGTTATACAGTGAATCAGTCCAATAAATATTATTAGAGACCCAGTCTACGGCAATCCCTTCCGCCATATTGGAAGTTCCGGTAAAGATGGTTTCCGTTTCAGTTGTTCCATTCAGGCGAAGAGCCTGAAACAAAGGATTTGATTTTGCTTTATTTGCTTCATCATTGTAAAAGTTTTGGAGTAGGGGTTGGGAAGGGAAAAGGGCCGAAAATCTAGAATTATACTATATTGCAAAAAATGACAGAAGGAAAAGCCATAATGAATACTGCAACAGGACCGCAGATTACTCCCAGGACTGCAGATTGCGGCGCATATTTTCGGTCGTGTAACGGTTTTTTAAAATGTTTTTCCTACATCTAAACGTCTTTTAGTATTATGCGAGTGTATGGCCTCAAAGAATATATTATCAATTGAACACAATTTGTTACTTTTAAAATTGGTCAAATTTTACGGTATTGTAAAAAAAAGATTTTTTTTCTATAAAGCGTAAATTTGACAGATTTTTAAACTAACAGATAATATTAAATTGGGATTATATTATTAAAGACCACTCACTCGGATAATATGAAAAGATATTCAAATGTCGGACAGACAATCCATGTATGTAAAGCCGGTATATATTCGGATTTATGCGCCGCAATATGCGGTCCTATTCCCGAGTTCCTTTGGGAAAAGCTTATAAAAACGGAGAATCTAAACTGAAAATCAAAGGCTGGATAAAACTGATTTTAAGTTGCACACGACTCGAGTGATTTTGAGGTTAACCATTTCCTGTTTAGTATCGCAGATATAAAACTTGCACTCCAGAGTAGGATTATGTACATGTAGTTCCGGTTTTACGTTGTATGCAAACAGACAGGAGAACGTATCAAAACAAGCATCGTTTTCCATATTCTAACACTTTTAAATAACGCAGGAATCAATAGTTAGATAGCTAGTTACATGTACTATACATCTTTATATGTCATTACATGTTGTTTTTTTGTTTTATATTGTTGTTGTTGTTTTTGTTCCTATTAAAATTACCATACGTTTAGTCTTAAACCGTATAATTTAGAGCAGCGGGTCCGGTCTATGACTTTCCCATATTATACTATACGTCTTAATATCGAAGGCTTTTCTGAACACTATTCTACGTCTTTAAGTATGTAGAATATAAATTTATTGTGGCGGATCTCTCAAATCTCATCTCTCTATCTTTAAATGAGGTGTAAAGGATCCTTACCTGTATCTTCTTATTGGTTGACTCGGACCAGTAAAGGGTTTGAGCTCCATAGTGGAATGCCAAAGATTTAAACTGCCAGCCATGGTGCGGAGCACTAGATAACATAAAAATGTTAAAAATAGAAATCTCCTGGAATAAACCACTATGTCTTTATTTTATAATGTATATAGTCATGCATGTGAACTCCCACTTTAAGCGGGAGACTACCACTTTCTGAAGCCATATTTTGAAAGATTTTTCTTAAAATAAGGGGTATTTTCACAAATTAAAGAAATCTACCTACTTTTGATTTCAGAACTTCCTTCTTTGTTTATTGCAAATTCTAAAATCTCCCTCTCTTTGAAGAAAAATCTCCCACTTGATCATGGAAAAAAGTTCACATGTTTGTATAGTACAAATACCGAATAACTCTACTATAGATAGCCATGGTTTAGACCGGGGTATAATTTAGGATTTAGTTCGTATACATAAGATATCACTTGTTCTTGTAAACATTTTACACCCAGAATACTCTGATGACTGTGTCACTGGATTTTTTATTTCAGAGAAACTTTCAGTACTTTCTATTCAATTAGAGAACATTCCTATGACACGATCTTTGTTGATCTTGGCAATTTAGACAATGAAAGAGAAAATAGACTTAGCTTTTACATGCTTTTTATGCAAAGTTAATATGAATATAATAATAAATCCGGTTAAAGTCAATAAATATTATAATGCCCGCATAGTGTTTGATTCTTAAAAAAAAACACACACACAGAATGATGTAAAAGTGAAGGTCATTCGGATGTTAGCAATCTGATTTATAAATTCAACATTCATCATTTTACTTCCGCCATTTCCGAATTTTGAACACTTGGCTGGTTGTCAAGGACTGATGAACGGAAACTGTCGGAAAAATTCCAATTGACATTTAGGTTCTGAGTGAATACAGCTTTCCTGTATAAGGGCAAAAGTCAATGGTATGTAAAATAATCTTATACAAATAAAGAATCTCCTTAAATACACTAATAACCTTTGAGTCACTCAGGCGCACGTGGAGGCAAAAATTCATGAATTACATCACAGGTTATTTTTAATATTGACATAAAATCAAATACAACATATGAGCAGTTTTTTCACCTGATATGTCGAACCTGTACATTTCCGCTCGGCACCCACTCAGTCGGATCTCCTTCTATGCCGACGATTCTAGAGACACCTATCTTCAAAGATGGGGTTTGAGCCCATATCAGATTACGTGCATGTCGAACTGAAAGCAATACTAATTTTAATGATACAATACACTTAAATAATGTTTCCATATTCTCGCTAATTTTAATGAAAATTTTGAGAATATGTTGTAAAGTGAAATATTATTGTGAAGTGAACGAAACAAGTAATTAACACATTGCATACGGCAAATAACTTCAAGGAAATTACCAAAATGAGGTCTAAGTATGCAAAAATAACTTACTGCGTCCCCCACTTAGTAAAAATATTCTGGTTATTATGATATACCACATGGACTAACATTTACCACGCTAAATATCTTAAATGGACTAGTCCATCTTTCAAGATAGATAAACCATTCATCATTTTTAGGTATAATTTCATAAACCGTGTATTGACTGTATAGTGGACTGTGCAGACCATGATCAGAAAGCAGGGATGTGCCGACCAATCTTGGTCTGCACTGATCACTTTGGTACAATCTGTTGCCGCCAGCAGGAGAAGGCTGATGCTAACTTTATTGAATATATGAACAGAATACAGGAAAAAAGTGACTCGTTCACTTGGTTTTTAACATTTATGAGTAATTCAGCGAAATTTAATAAATAGAGAAAACACAAATGTTTATTATACATGTATCCAGTTTTAGAAATAATGTACATGTACACACGCAATACAAAAAATAATATTGTATACTATTCTTTGTGAGAAAATCAAGTGTCGGGAAAAAACAACACTTTTAAGGAACACTGTCGCGTCGCTGCAAAAAAAAGCATTTACTGCACAATCTCTGATGAGCAACACACTTTTGGACACAGATATTTTGGCTGTTTCTTAGAGGCGTTTCTCTACAACGGTTGAATGTCTTAATAACCTTTAATTGTAATTATAATAAATTAATAACTTGTATTGTTCTACGGATGGTCGCTCTACAGAAGTTGCACTGTATGTTAAAATATCGAATTGTAGGTAAATATATTCCATAAATCCACAATAAAAAAGAATATGAAAGTTAAGTGTAGGCATGACCTTCGTTAATGTGGCGCCATTTTGTGTTAAAGCTTCAATGCGGCGCCTGGTGCAGGAGAACTCGAAGGGAAAAATAACATGTCAAAGTTCACTATGGAAGATAAAAAGGAACATAATTGCGTCGTAACGTTCAACTTACCATGAGCATAAAAAATTTCAACTGTTATTTATTGGTCGCACATGTACATTCATTTTCATTGTTCCTACGTTGAACCGTTGATTTAATAAATTTTAATAAATAATAGGCATACAAGAAATTATAATAATAATAATGTCCAGTTTTTCAAAAATTATTACAACATAGAATCTTTTATCTTGAAACCGACGTTACCAAGTACATATTATGTTTCATATTTTTTTTATTTTACTTGTACTCCATTTTTCATAACTATGGAAGCAACAAAGAAAGGTTTCAGTAAAACATATCATGGAAAAATTTACAAAAAGTGAATCGGAGGGGGTTACTGACCATTACTGTAGCAAACCCACTTTGCTAATTATGCAATTATTAAATACGCAAATGACATTTTTTTACATTTTAAACCATTGCTTTTTTAATAAATTTATTAAATTATCAAGAAACGTTTTCAAGTTATTTTATTCAATTTTCTAAACTTTTGAAGCTTTTTGTTTGTTTTATTTTTTAAAGAAGAAAATCCTCTTTTCTTCAAACAATAATTCAAGCACGTATCAATTGCATGAGGAATACCTAACGAAAACTATGATTTTTTACAGACTGACTTCAGCAACGTTAGTAAAAAAAAGAGCGCGTTTTTTCTTTACCGTCTGCTCTTCTTGTTCTAAAAAATAAACGCCACAAACCTGCAAATGTTCCAGAATTCCATAAAACTACAGATAAACTAATTAGAAAATATAAATTATTCCACATTTTCATCATGTATAAATTTAGACATACGCAACACGCAATAATATTCTAAAATGCACATAAGAACTTGCGTTTGACAACCATTCATTAATGATAAACAATGAAAGCTACAGAAATCATTAAAATCTTATTCGGACAATAAGAGTAAAGTCGGGCAATAGTCAAGTAGGTGTTATGTAGTATTATCTTCATATAGCGCTTTCTAACACTGACTAATATGATCTCGTTAGTATAAATGCTTGTTTTTAAGTTGTTCTTGTTAGCAATGCTCTAATAAGGAAGTTAACTTTAAGAGTTTTCCTCTTTGAAGCGTGGGGACTATGAACCGACTTGCACAGACAGAAGTGCCTCTACTCACTAATTAGCAAAAATCTCTTTAAAAAATGTCGAACTATTTTGCGGAGACTCGTATTTGATATACAAAATTAGGAAATAGCTTGATTGTGTATCTCTTAAGGAATAATACGATACTTGTCTTTGATACTTATAATAATATATGTATCTATATTTTATGTAAATGACTTTGATGATCTATTTTGTTTTCCCTTTGTTTTCAAGCTTTTGTCTCCATTGATGATTTTAAGTAGCACTGTCCACTTATCGTAAAAACTCGGCTTTCTCCGACGACTCCGTAAGAACTGAAGTCACCCGAGGTGTTCCGAAAGGACATGTGAATTATAACATATTAAACACATCTTCATGATAAAAGAACAATTCTGAAGTCGTAAAAACATCGTTGCTAAATGCTGGCAAAGATCATCAAAAAAACAACAACAAAACACACACAAAACACACACCAAAAAAAAAGTATTTAGCATGTGATTAAGTTACATATAGACAAATAGAAAGATAATAAAAATTATCTAAAAATTTGCATGGTCCTAGAATATGAAAGAAACATTTAAAGTGAAAAATATGGGGGGGGGGGGGTGTTACCCTGCCATCAGTGGTCCGTTCCTAATACAAAATTATTAAACTCTTTATTTCTTCCCGATTTCAAAAGTAATATTTCCAACCATAGAAATCAAACTGTTTCAACTTCTGAGAAAATGTGAATGTTTTTTTTATTTTATTTTTTTCTCAGGGAGATTACACCACATTACACATTATTAAGTAAGGTAATTTTAAAATTTTATTTTACTTTTCATAATTCCCGAAAATGTTGCATAATTTTTGTACAATTTAATGTGAAGGCCTTTTCCAAAATATAGCTATGCTCAAATTTGATATTTAATTTGTGTTATAACCTACTAATCGACGGTCTACTACAATTGACGGTCTTCGACGGTCTTTGGAGACCGGGGACCGTCGAAGACCGGAGACCGTCGATTAGTATCCCCCCATTCATGTATTTACACACGAGCTAGCTTTGAACTTCGAGCCAGCTCGAAGGTAAATATTCATCAATATCGAGTTTACTTTGAACCTTTAGCCAGCTCAAAGATTAAAATTCTAATCTATTCAAAGATGAGTTGTAGTTCGAACCAGATCAAAGATCGAAATTCATAGTTTATTTAGCTGAATTTCGAGCAAGAGTTGAATTTCGAGCTAGGTAGCTCGTAGATCGAAAGTCAAGTCTTTCGATGACAGCTAAATGTTGTGCAAGAGATGCTTTCGAGCTGGCGGTGAATTTCGAGGTAGCCCGAAGTCAGAAATACAGAATATTCCGAAGGTCGATCTGGCTTTGAACTTCGTCATTCAAAGCCGAATTTCACGCTTGAGTTGAATTTCGATGCAGCTCAAATATTGAAATACATAGTTTATTTAGCTGAATTTCGAGCCGGGTGTAAAATTCGTGCAAGCCATTAGATCGAAATTCATAGTTTTTATAAGTTGAATTTAGTGCTGGATTTGAACTTCGAAGTAATTTGAAGAGCATTCAAAGTTGAATTTCGTGTTGGAGTTGAATTTCGACGCAGCTCGTAGATCGAAAATAAATCATTCAAAGCTGAATTTCGTGTTGCAGTTAAATTTTGAGCCAACCTGATGATCGAAATTTAAAAAAAACATTCAAAGTCTAATGTCGTGCTATAGCTGAATTTCAAGCCGCCTCGAAAAATGAAATTCAAAATCATTCAAAGTCAAATTTCAAATTTTATTGCTAAAGATGCTTTTTAGCCGCTTTAACCTTCAATAAATAAAAAAGGAAATATGGAATCAAATATCGCAAAAAGTAATTCATCAAGATTACTTTCCTCCTTGAAATGTAAATGAAAATGACGTCAAATTAAGTGTTCTAAGAAGTCTGACTCTGCCCTTCTTCTCATATTAAGCATATTAAGAGGTTAGAGGGAATCAAAGTATAAAAAAATGAGCTAGGTTACACATATTGTTAGGGTTATCTAAAGAAAAGTAAAAACGGAACAATTTTGTTTGGTTTCCAGCAAGCGTACGGAATACCTCCCAGCCAAAGTTTTGCAAATCATTATTTTACACAAACTCTTAATGCTCGCTTGGTTTAAACATATTTATTCAACAAAACATTTAACAAGTGAACAATATTTACAAAGTACATTTTGGGATTGGGCAGAAAGCTATAAAGCTTATAAATGTCCTCTCCCAGTTATAATAATTTACAATAATAAAGTTCATGGCATTATCATACACAACGGTTAGTTGAAGTATTCAAAGACATTCACATAATAGTTAAGAGTTAAGTATTTAGCAATGTAACATATGTAAGAGCAAACAGTAAAAAGGAGAAGAAAAAAAAAGATTGAAGAATAAAGCAACTCACAAAAAAGTACAAATAGACAAACACCTATCTTAGTATTTTTTTTGTTTTAGAATTTAGTAAGAAGAAGAAAATAATATCTTATTTGAATGCTTACAGCTGTATATTAGCAGATACGCACAATAGGTATACACTGAATATTTAAAGAAAAAAAGATATTAGAAAAAGGAATGAAGAAATGGATGAACAATGATGGAACAATAACGAGGAAATAAGATGCATAATCTAGTAAATGTCAAATATGTTAAGACATCTCTGGTTTTAAGTACGCTGAAATCGTTTTGTATCTCGGATATATTTTTGAACTGATTTAAAGATTGATACATTAGAATCATAAGGTAAAGTAGTGGAACCAGTAAGAATGACATTGATGGAAGGATTACAAAATTGAGATATAGTACTTATTAATTCAGGTCGTAGGTTAGTATATTTAGGGCATTCAAGAAAGTAGTGATAAGCATTTTCTCTCGCACCACATTCACACAAAGGAGAGTCGGTAATGTTCTTATCAAATAAATCGGCAGAAAGAGAGCTGCAGTTAGTACGTAATCTTGTGTGAAAAATTTGTAATTTACGCTCACCGCATAGAAAATGGGCAGGTACTTTTGGCATATCAGTATTAAGAAGTCGCTTAAATGATGTTAACGTTGTAGCAGTTTGTGTTTGAGGTGGAAGAGAGTTGAAATCCCTAATAACAGAAGGTAAGAATGATTTATAGTAAAATTCTGTATTTGTACGGATATATTGTATGTCGTCTGCGTTCCTGAGAGGGTAACGGTGCTCACTGCCAATCGACGGAGGGACAAGATCAGAAAGATAATGTGGTGTAAGGTTGTTTTTCATTTTAAAAAATAGAATAAGTTTATGTTTGTGTCTCCTTTTTTCTAGGGATTCCCAGCCAATTTCATTCATGAGTTTATCGATTGATACGAGCTTAGTTGTTCCAGTAATTATTCTAGCGGCTTCTTGTTGAATTTGTTCGAGGTCCTTTTTATCACTTTGCGTACAATTATCAAAAAGCACATCTCCATATTCTAAAATCGGTCTTATGAAAGATTGATAAATTATTTCTAATGATTTCCTATCAAGTTGGAATTTTAATTTTTTCATAACATTTATTCTTTTCCAAGCTTTATTTGTGATATATTCAATATGAGTGGACCATCTTAAATCATGAGCGAAAGTAATTCCCAAGTGTTTATGAATGCGTACTTCTTTTATTTGTGTGCCATGCATAAAGATAGGAGGATGGATTACATTTTGGTTTGTTTTTCGTGTTATTATTAGTGATTCTGTTTGAATGGGATTAAATTTTACCAACCATTGTTCGGCCAAAGAAGTTATCTTATCAAGATCTGAATTAATGATAGTTGAAGCAGTCACGGGGTCTTCGACCACAATAAAAAGGTTAGTGTCGTCGGCGAAAAGTCTTATATTGGCATTGATGTCGATAACAATATCGTTAATATAAACAAGAAACAACAAAGGCCCAAGAATTGACCCTTGTGGCACACCAGCGGCAATAAAATTAAGAGAAGATCTACAACCTGGTAAAATAACTCTTTGTCTTCTGTCCTTAAGATAAGAAGAAACCAAGAGGAAAGACGGCCAGAAATACCGATACAGTTTAATTTATAAATAAGTCCCTTGTGCCAGACCCGATCAAACGCTTTACTGATATCACAAAACACAGCCCTGACTTCTTTACCAGAATCAATGGCCTGTGCAAACAAATTATATAAGTATGTTAATTGGTTGACAGTGGAGTCTCCGGGAACAAAACCAGATTGAAGAGATGTAATGATATTATTATCACGCAGAAAATTAAATGTGTGTTTAAATACGATTCTTTCAAAGACTTTGTTGACAGTACTTATGAGAGATATTGGTCGGTAGTTATTAACAAGAGAAGGATCACCCGATTTGAAAAGAGGTGAAACATTTGCTTCTTTCCATACGTCTGGAACTTGAGAAACCTGAATGGAATAGTTAAATAGGGAACTTAGAGGACCACTGAGTTCATGTGAGAGTTCACGAAGGATTCGATTGTTAATATCATCAGGACCAGCGGCCTTTCCCAAAAGAAGTGATTTCATTACTAATTGCACCTCATCTGTTGATATGGTGAGATCATCCAGATGATAAGGAATGTTGGGCAAGTCAGTAAGAATTGGAGCCTGACTTTCGTCAATGCGTGTTTGGGCAACAAAAAAGTCATTCAAGAAATTAGCTTTTTCCAAATTTTCAGAGATGACGGTGTTATTATTAGTGGTTAAAGGGGGTATTGAGTTAGAATAAGACGGTTTAATAAAGGATTTAAGACAAGACCACCAACTCTTTGAGTTCCTGTTTTCGTGTTGTAATTTTTGGGCTAGATTGTCGATATGTTG